GGGTTCGTGGCTGTAATCACAGCTCTCGAAACGCCTCACTGCCCCAGCCCCGGTCGGATCGTCCCGCGTGCGTGACACAGAGCGGCTCGGGGGCCCAATTAAGCAGATTAGCCACGGAAAGCTCGGGAGAGAGGAATATTCAGACAGGCGCGAGGAGCAGCACGTGACCCTCGTGCTCGAGCGTACCTTTTCGACGAGATTCCCCGGCAGAAGGTTCTCCACGAATTGCCGCAGGTTTTCTCGCACGACGGCGCTGTGGAAGAAGGTTATTTTCCCGTTGATGAGCCCCAGCAGGGACGGCGTGCTGTGGGCGCCCAGGTGATGGGCGAGGCGCCTTTCGTAGCCGGCGTGAACGACTCCGATTCCCACTCCTGGAAAAGGAGAGCGGCTTCGCGTCAAGGATCACAGATGACCCAAAAGGCAGAGTGGAAAATGGAGGTGGCCGACCCGTTCCCTCGCTCAGCGTCCTGCCTTGGAGTTATTTATGCCATAGCCCCTCCTACCTCGGTACCTTCCTCCTCTTCCAATCCCCTGAAAATTGTATTTAAAACTCATGGAGTTATCTAGGGAGAGAGAACACGCTGTGCCTCGTGTCCGCTGGCGCTTCACGTGCTATGTGAAAACGTTTCAAGGAGAAAATTCTTAGTGAGCGGGAACTATGAGGCCTCGGTCTCCCGCTGCCTGTTGTGTTTCTGTTTTTAGGGAAGGGCACGCAGACGACATCTGCGGGGAAAAACGAGGAGGCTGGGGGTGGAGGGGCAGCTAAAAGATACCTCCTTGGCATGCAGAGGTGTTCAGTCAGTCTCCAAACTTCACTGCACGGGAGGGGCTCTAAAGACGAGGACATATTCTCGGAGGCTTACCAAAGCCATCCAAGCGCAGGACAAAGAGATTCCCAGCGTTTACGCCGGTGGCCTGAAGTCGCGGCGGCGCGGTCGGCCCTTGGCCACGCTGTCGGTTGTTACCAGCGGCGTTGGACCAAGCTGCTGGCCGTACAGATCAGGAAAAAAGGCGTCCTGCCCTTGTGAGGGACGGGACTGGTTTTTGCCTCGGTTCTAACGAGTAACCTCATCGATTACGTCGGTACTAACGCACGGGAGAGCATTAGGAGAAATCCCAGAGGAAACCTACGGATTAAACTCTGTCTTTCAAGGCCAGAGGCGATGGCCGCAGCCTCGCCGGGCGAGGGGCGCGCGCTCAGCCTACACGGCCTCGTCCTTACCCAGCGCCTCCAATTCCTGGGCGACTTCCTTCCACACGGGCTCGATGTGGATGCAGCTGAAGCACCAGTCCGAGGTGACTTTAATGAGGTAAGGTTTCTTGAAACTATCCGGCACGATTTCGTTGATGTAGTGGGAGAAATGGAGCAAATACTTCTCGTCGGAGGTGTCGCGCCTCTCCGAATTGAAGGGGAAATGGAAGAAGGACTCGTCAAAATAGAAGCCGTCGTGGAAGCGGTGGAACTGGCGATGCTGGTGCTGGGAGTAGCCCTGGCTTTCCCCGGCATCTCCGTAGCGATCAAAGTTGGCCCTCTTCTCCTCGTTGGAGAGAATCTGGGAAGCAGTGATAGCAGAACGGTCGCCTGAAACGCTGAGGAGGAACTGCCCTGACAATCCTCCCGCAGCAAATAACTGCGGCTGCGTAGGGCCGGGACAGGAGGGGACACGCAGCCTTTGCCGTGCATCCGAGGGAGAACCAGTCTGGAAAAGGGAACGTTCGCCTCGCCTCCAGGCTCGCCAGGGTAAAGAAAGGCAAAGCCCCGAGAAAAGGAGCCGTAAATCCAGACTGCCGTTCCCTGTTCTGACACCGATCCGTGTCAGAACGTCACGCCTGCGCGTTAACGCTCGTGTCCGGAGCGGCTTTTGCTGGCGTCTCCTCGGACACCGGGGGTGTTCTCAGCGCATCGGAAAGCACCAAAAATGTTTACCGAGCAGAGGAAACGCAGTTTGGGGCTGGGAGAGGAGGATTCATGTTACTGTCGCGGGCTCGGCTCGCCTGCCGTGCAAGTATCGGGGCGGCCCATTTTGAGAGCCGCACGGGAGTGACGTGCAAGGAACTGCTTCTGCCAGGAATAATCAGCAGCAACCGGAGCCCTGCGGCGATTAACGCCGCTTAGGTCACCCCAAACGCTTACGTGCACGTGCGACAGGCGAGCTCTGCGCGGGGCTCGGCAAGCACCCGCTCCTCCCTTGTCCGAGGCTTTTTAGGGAGAACAGGGCAGACGCGTAGCGGAATAATTGCAGCAGAGGCCAGGCTGGTGGCTTGCAGAGGCTCTCTGTCGGGGAAGCAGAGGCAGCTTTCCCGATGGGCAGCGTCTGCCTCCGCGGGGCGAAGCCCGTTTCCCGTGAGGCTGCACGCAGCAAAAGCGCCAAGCGGCGTTCGGAAAAATACGGTCGCTGAACTTTAAATGACAGCGCGAGTTTGGCGAGAGGAGCGCGTTACCTCGTAGGCCTTGCTGATCTGGATGAATCTGTCCTCTGCTCCCGGGTCCTTGTTTTTGTCCGGGTGCCTGCGAGGCAGAACCGGAGGAAAAAGGGGTCAGCGGTT